GAGAGAGAGAGAGAGAGAGAGGGGTGTAGAAAATTTGCACACAACTAGTTTTTAATATATGACTACCCTTGGATTTTTCTTTTCTATTAAACTACATGTTCTCCTGCCACTCAGGCCAGTGTCTATCTACTAACCGTTTCCCCTTTTCTTTTTGCAGCGCGTTCGACTCAGACGACGAGGATGACCCCCAGGGTCGACTCAGTGGTCAGTCGAGCTCATGTATGGACACAGCGGACATGGACGGGAGGCTCCCCAGGTAAGCGGTGTCAGCTGACTGCACTCTTTGGCGGTTTGGGGGTGGGTTCTCTTCGGAAGAGTTTGTATCAGTCTTCAGCCTGATTTTTGTGTGATCCTTCTGGAGAGACTGTATGACGATTATGTTTTTGATTTAGTTTTGGAATGAAGGAAAAGAAGAAGTGGTAGAATAAAAACAATGTAACTGTTGATGTTTTACGCTCCTTTTGACTCAATTTAGATCATTTAGGAGGCAGGCTTCGATCCTGTCTGTCAGGACCAACCCTGGATGAGAGGAATACCACTTCCCAGCAGTTAAAAACAAACACTTGTACTCCTTAAAAAATTCTCCCCACGTTGTGATGGAACTCGGGTCTCTTGCGTGCGACGGCGAAGTACCTAACACCTACAGATGATGGGCGTCTCAGTACTTCTTCTTTGTCTTACCTTTTCGAGGAATTGAATATTGCTTCATGGACCTTCCCACAATAAACCGCTATGTCTCTTGTTGCCACTCTGCCTTCCTGTTGCTTTTTGGTTTGTTTTTTTGTTCCAAGCCAGGTTTGTGCATCATGTTCCCATCTTTTTTTAGGTCTCCCCCCTTCCTCCCTTGCCTTTAATCTTTGCTTCCTAAGCGTATGTCTGACCTCTCTGTACTCAGATTGAAATACTCCCCCTTCTCCCCCCTCCCCCATCCCCCCTTTCCCCCCAGATCTGTGGGTAGTTGGTGGGTCCTCTGCTGTGGTTTGCTCCTTCATTCTTATCAAACATCTGTCGTCCTTATCTCTGTTTGTGCTTATTATTCTCTTGTATCACCTCTAATCTGCGGTGCATATTTATATGACGTAATTAGGAAGGATTTTCGTAACGAGCAACCACCTCAACAAACGCGATAAATAAAGAAGGGACATAGACCTAACCCTAACCCGAACCCTAAACTTTGCTTGGCCGTACCCCAAACCCTAACTTTAACCCGTACCCGAACCGTGACCATAACCCTAAATCCTAACCTTAGTACCAACTTTAACCCTCGTTACGGAATTCCTTTAATTGTGTCGCAAGTACCGCAAAACTCGTAACTAATACATGACATCCTGGCCCTCGTTCCCTTCCTTCCCAGCTTGAGCCCCATGACCCGGCAGAACCACAGCGAGATCGAGAAGAGGCGGCGGGACAAGATGAACACGTACATCTCCGAGCTGTCCGCCCTCATTCCCATGTGTAGCGCCATGAACCGCAAGCTGGACAAGCTTACCGTGCTACGCATGGCGGTACAGCACATCAACTCTCTCAAAGGTGAGCCCACTCCCCTTATTCCTGGGTTTGGTTGTTTGCAGGTTTTGAAAACTGATAACAGCAATCAGGAAAATACTAAATGCCGTTTTGGGGACACTTGTGTAGACGAACAAGCGACTTTCTTGGAGAGCCTTAACAAATAGGTGACTGTGAAAAATCAAGATATAGAAACTTTTTTTCTAGAGCACCCGAGGAAACGAATGAACGGAGAACCATGGTCGCCGATGTCTGTCACAGATCTGACAGATGATAATGATGATGATGATGATGATGATGATAATAATGATGATGATGGTGATGATTTGTTTGCTTTTATGTGGTGGGAGAAGGGTTGTAACAGTGTGTGGTTCGTGGGCGCATTGATGTGATCTGCCTCCTACACTAATGGTAGCATACTTCTTTTTTTTTTTTTTTTTACATTAATTC